GAGGCCACTATATTAAAGGCTATTACTATAAAGGAGGCCGCTATAATTTTTTATATTTCATTGTTGGTATTTTTATTTGTTTAAGCATATAATCGATTATTCTTATTTACTGTTAACTATGAATTCACTTCCTGACTACAATTACAAGAAAACGATGTGACCTCGGTATGATGTTGCTCGTTCATAAGGGACATCTCGTGGATGTCGACTATGGTCGGCATTCGTAGCGAAAGGGTTAATAGCCAGAGTTATCGATTCGAGGTTTTCAAGAAAGAGTGACTAAGATAAGAAAAAATGCGAGAGAACAATTTGAGAGAAGCTCTCGTATCTACGTACAATCTAGACGAATATCGTATAAAACGATTTCCGTGGATTGGGCCGAGCGAACTTTAGTCATTACCGGGACCGAAGAACGTCGTTGACGGAAAAAAGCGGGAGAGTCGTTTGAGTTTTTAATTAAGCGGAACAAGAAAGTTGCGGGACCAATGATCATTGTTTCAGGACAAACGCGATTTATCATCTGCGATGATACGACGTTGAACGCCGGTTTTAATTAAATTAAGTGTCGAGTTTCGGTTGACTGGCGAATAAGGGAATTTACACATGGTTACTCGGAAGCCGTCTCCGCCGGCGCGGAATACGCGCTGCACGTACGCCGTGGTCCCTACGGGGGATGTCACGAGTCAGGATCCGCGGAAATGGATACGATCCTTTTGTTTGCCGTTGAGATTCCGCGAACGGAAACCAAAGGCAGCGGGGAACAGCTGTAAAACGGGCGTTGCTAATATGACTTAAGAACCGAATTACATCGCCACGCAAATTACTCCCGACAATTAACGCTATTAGGCTGATTCCCGGAGAAATACAGCTTGTTTTTTACGACCGTCTTCAAGTGAAATATTTTAAAAATATTAAGAATGTATAAGCTACACAATTAAACAATGCTATGATTATACATAAACAATGATATGCTTAAACAATGCATGCAAAATTCACCATTTCGACGGTGGGACGGTCGAATTTCGTCAATGCCAATAAAATGCCAATTAACTGCAATTAACTCGTTA